CACCTGCGGTCCAGAGTTTTGCAAATATCTCAGCAACGTTGTGGTTGTATTTCGCTTACTTAGTAACCTGCCATGAAAATTATAGAAGGCAGAAAACAAAACGTTAAACATTGTGATTTCAACTACAGCCATAGCTTAACTGGGTTCTATGCCGATTTGCGCTCCCCAGATCAACCCCGCTGACGGGTGATTGCTGTGGCAAAAAGATCGATAGAAATAGCTGAGAGACGTGCGAAACAAAGGACCCGCATGGTGTGGTGGTGAACGCGTTACTCCCCGGAAAGGACAATAGCGCGTTCGTTCCCCACCATAGACACCTGCGGTCCAGAGTTTTGCAAATATCTCAGCAACGTTTTAGAGATCCTTGCTCTCTGCATTTCTCTCTACTAGCTCTCTATCCACCAATACCATAAACAATCACCGGTAAGCGCGATTGATCTTGGGAGCACAAATCGGTATTGAACCAAGTTAAGCTGAGGCCGTACTTCTAAATCACATCACAATGTTAGCCTTTTATTTTCCGCCTACCATAATTTTTCGAGGAAGGGTATGCTGTGAATTACAATTACAACGATGCTGAGATACCCTCGTAAACTATAAAGAAATTATGTTGTAGTAGGTAGAAAATAAAAGCCTAGCATTATAATATAATATATTAAAAAACGCTTATTTTAGCTTACAACTTGGATCGACTGTCGAAGGAAAAGCAGGTAAACTCGGCCAGGATCGAGCTTCGTGAAGCCATAATAAGCTTGTTGCTTGGATATGTTTATCATAAAAGTTTTTCTATTCAACTAACATTTATATGTGGTCGTCAGCCATCAGGTGGTCAATACAGTAAGTCGTATGTGACTCGAGTTTTTGGGTCGTTTATTTCATCGCATAGAGCATTTCTGCCGTAATCACTTGACTGCGTATCCAAGAAAGATATAGTGGATACGGTAGAACAAGGAATGCTCTATTCTGCATCTAGAAATCTACAAAGGATTTCCTTTCGAACAAGTTCACCGACCGATAATTTCACTTGAGACTGGCGACGGCTGTTTCAGTCCCATGTGCGGTGAAGAATCAAGGCTATCTTATAAATGGGCGGTACAAAAAAAATACGGTAAAACATTCTAAAACAATTGAAAATGCAGACCGCAATGTAGCACATGTTAACATATAGCAAATAGCACCAAACACACTATGCATGGCCTTATCTTGAAAAATCAGTGTCCTCTACAGCTCTGTCATGTTCTCGTACCTCTTGTCATCGAAAAAATACCAACTGGCGAAAAACGAAAAAGCGACTACCGACATGAAATTAAACGTGGTAGAACGTTCTACCAGGACAAAGTTAGGTTTTCAGCACTGAGAGGTTAAAGTTAAAGTGCTCTCCCTCACCAAGCAAAAATCAGGTTGGGCTAATCAAGTATTAGACCACAGAAACACAACGCAATGATCATCTGGTGGACACTAAGGAGAGATTGCATTTACTACTAAATGCGGCAATGTCGAAGCCCCATCTCTCACTGTAACATTTACTAACTCTTCATCTAATCACCCACTGAATTTTCATGATGAAATGTTCAGGAAAAGAAAAAGAATTTCGACAATTAAAGAGCCCGTGCTTTAGAGAACTGTTCAGAACCTGAGCACCATCCTTTGTTCCTTAATCCTACATCATTTCATATCCTCATGCAACTTTCGTTCTTTTCTTCTGGTAACATTGATATCACTTCAATAATCTTCCACCTGTTTTGATAACCGACATTTAACTATTATTTCTATATAACCAATGTGTGAACCAATGAATGTCAACAATCTGCAATGCGTCAATGAAAGAACATGACTGTATTGTAAACGAAAGATTAATACAAAAGGTTTTAATTTTTATACATGTTTTTATACAAAGTTACCAAGCCGAAAAGTCCGTTAATGATGATTTCACCATTTTTTTCTTAACGACAACAGGTGACGATAATGCCTGAAAAAAAACAAAGACATAAAGATATGACAAGGAAAACAGCCAGAAGCTCCGCAAGCCAACTTACATCACTGGATATCGCCCGCTTACTTTCCGGATTTATATATTTCCCAACACCTGCTCCAAAAACTTTCGGCTTAACAGCAGGTTCTTTCTTTGTTTCTGTTCCCTTCAATGCGTCTAGAAGTGTACACATTACGAATTTCTTCAAGAATCTGGAGAATGTGAAAAATTGGTCAAAATTTCAGGTCGGTAAGTTTAGTGTAAATAATTGTGGTAGGAATTACAAAAATGGGCACAATCATTCAGAAATTTGATACCTACACGAAACCAAACTAACTTTTGTTAAGCAAATCTGCTCGTTCTTTTTGAACTTCTGCCTCGGCTTCTTCAAAAGGGTTCACGAAGACTTCAGCACGCATAAAATATACTGGCTGAAGAAACTATTTGCGATAAAATCAGTAAATAATGGAATCCACAAGAAAAAACTGCCTCTTTGGGTACGTCTCCCCTATCGGTTTCCACTTTTTCAATCGAGGCCAAAGCATCTTGTCCACCAACAACACGGCCAAAAATTGAGTGCTTCTTGTCAAGGTACTTACACGGGCGAAAAGTAATAAAGCTGCAAGCGTAATCACATTTACTGCTGACATTAAGACAGTCCACAAACCACACTGTTCTTGAGAATCTGAACCCTCTGAGAAAAGAAACTCACAACTGCGACTGGTTTGTGTTCGTTCCCTTGTTAGCCATAGAAAGAATCCCTCGTGCATCATGAGAAAGACCCTAAGAATAACGATGCCTACGGTCAGGCTAATAAAACGTAAGAACTTCGAAAAGAATAAACTATTAATAGCCAGAGTTATACGGCAACAAAGTACTGTATTTAAGTGTGAGGAAAAAGGCTAAGAATGAAAGAATGTCCTACTGGAGCAAATTCGTCATCAAACGGCTTTCCCCACATGGACTCTCCACCGTGTCCAGTACTAGTTGGATCACCACCTTGCATCTGGAACGTATGCATATAGAAAACTTAAAAAGAATCTCAGAGACACTGGCCTTAATAACTGAACAAAAGTGTTTAGTTGAATAACTCAGGATAAAACACTGTCGTAATTCATGGATACACTCACCATGAAATTCTTTATTATCCTATGAAATCTCGTATTGTTATAGTATCCTCTTGAACATAATGTTATGAAGTTCTCGCATGTTTTTGGAGCTTTTGCACAAAATCTGAAAGACAATGTGTTCACACATGAGAATGCCCACACAAGCAAACTTGTTTCAAAACACTAATTTTGAAAGCTGAGTAAGCAAAATAGTAAAATACGACTTGCAATTCAATGTTTATATGTCCATGATTAGTAACGATTCGGACGTAACCATTCTTCTTTACACGAGAATACCTAAACTTGGTTCGTTTTAAATTGCACTGAAAGAGAAAATCTCTGAAGATATCAAACAGACTGAGTTTTTCTCCTAGCAAGACAGTCAAAGAGAACACTTCTTTGGCCCGTACAGGATATTAGTCTTTGTACAAATACCTAGTCTCAGGATACAGGTGTATTTGAACGTTGTTTTGTAATCCAAACCAAAAAATATTTCCACAAGTGGGCATCTCTCATAAGTCATGGATGCAGTGACAGATGGAGATTTTCGCTCCCACTTCCTCAGGTAAGTAAGATCCACAGTGCTCTGCTAACTAGCTAAGGAAAAGGAAAACATAGATGTAAGTTTTACTCTATACAGAATCAAAAAACAGCTCTTGGACAAGTACTCGGCAGTGAACCACAAGATAATAAAAGCCTTTGCAGTAAAAACAACCTAGGAGATGTGGAAACGTACTCGTTAACGATGTGAGTACAAATGGCCACGAAAAGTTATAGTTCTATTAAGGACAGTAAGAGTAAATGTGAAGTATGCTGTATCCCAAATTACTTACTTACTTGGATACTTGAATGGCTCGTCCTCACTGGTTGTGCAGGCCTCAGCACTATCCCCATTCCTTAGGAGATTTGCTGGTTAAGCCATTATGGTTCCCTGGAATCCCGAAGTAAGCGAGGCCAAAGTCTGCCTCATGTCATCACCACCACAGCAGTCACCCCCCTCCCCTCCCTCTGGGATCATAGGAAGATTTGCCAGCATGCTAGTTTTGTACCAAAACGGTGGCGAACCCTGATACTGGTTTACTCTTAGCTAGGCTTCCTAATGGAAACGACGCATTCCTCCGTTTGGTAGACCCTGCCAGAGGAATGAATCCTCCCGCTGTACATCACACCTCGACACCCAGGAACACTTCCCAGCCACAATGAGGCGGTAAACGGTTGGGAGGAACCCAAATTACCTGAGAAATATACAGGTATTCATTCAGATAGATGTAGAAAGGCACTAATCTATTGATAAGATAGTCAGGAAATAAAACTAACCTGAGGGAGTAGAACATATAAAGCATAAGAGAATATGGCAATTTAATAACACACTAAGAAATGAAAGAACAGCAACGGCTTTTAGTATGTTTAATCATTTTCTTCTGTCCGAAATAAAATAATAATGAAAGACAACCTTACCTGACTGCCTCGTCTGTGAGAACTGCCGCCTTTTGTTTCGTGACCGGCGTCATAGTTGTAGATGTAAAACCTGCAGCAACGTGTCCTTGACTGAAAAGGAGTGTACTAACTAAGCTGAAACCGAAAACAAGAAAAACAGACGCAAATATGCATGCCTGTAATGTGCAGCGTTAATCTCATCAGCCGTCTCATCTGCCACTGGATCTATCTATAAGATAATATCATGACACAAAGCGTAAGCAAAGTTATAGACAGTAAAAAAGTGACTAGATAGTTCAAAGTGGGAAAACAAAATGAAAGAAGGAAAAGTGAGCTTCCACCCTAAACTTTCCACTATGGACCTTCCACTAACCTAAGGATAATTTTCTAGACTTCCTTATATCAATTTTACTGTCTGTGATTAAAAAGCTTATCCCGCTCTTAAACTCCCAACGATTTACCCACATTGTCGTGGCTGGGTGTTCATGGGTATCGGCTGCGATGTACAGTGGGGTGATTCATTCCCTTGGCAGGGTCTTCCAAGCTGAGAAGGAGTCCGGTGTTTCCATTAGAAACTCTAGATAAGAGTAAATCAATACCAGGATCCACCACCGTCCTGGTATCAAAGCCTCTGATCCACAAGGGCTGCGACTGCCAGTGGTGGTGACGACCTGGAGCAGACTTTGCCCAGATTGACCTTGGGACTCCATAGAACCACAATGGCCAGACCAGCAAAACTCGAAAAAATGGAAATTATTATGGGGACCGTATAACTAGCGAAGACGAGCCGCCCAAGTATCCAAGTAAATATATTGCTCTCAATAGAAACAACACAGTTTCAAAATGACAGGAGATAAATTACACAAAGAACCATAGGCCACTATAAAAACTTAAACGAAACCAAAAAAAAGTTCTCCAACAATAAAAAACAGTTCAAAAGCAAGTGCAGAACCCACTTTTTTTGAAACGTAATCTTTTTTCAACTGATCCAAAGCTTCTTTTGTTTCGTTGTTCATGCGACGAATGAAGAATTTCGGATCCTAAACTATGAGAAAAATCGGAAATAAGCCGTGGGAATACACACTAGCGCTCAAGTCGCAGTTCTGATAATCCCTTTGCATTGCAGAAACCTCCAGAAGATTTTCACTGCAGAATTAAGTTGCGTGGAATGAATTAACACATAAGTCTCACTCGCAACACTACGGCTCTGAGGACGGCGAAATCGCCGAAACGTCAGCCATCAAACAACAACAAGTTATACCAACAACGCATCAGCTCAACATTTAACAAAAAGTTAATATTTTATTTGTCGCCTACTCAAGTTTTTCACGCCAGGGTATAATGTCAAATACAACCACAATGATGCTGAGATGTTCGCAAAACTTCGACACTGAGCTAGATCGAACCAGGATTACCTTTTCCAGGGGCTCAGGTATTACACACTGCACCACTAAGGCCCTTGCTCTGCGTTTGTCTCAGCTACTTTTCTACCTAACGCTGCCATCACCACTTACTCCTCAGCGGGATTGATCTGGGAGCGGTAATACGCGATTCGCCGGAAAAGGTAATCGTGGTTCAATCTGGCTCTGGGTCCAAGTTTTGCGAACATCTCACCACCATTGTGATTGTAATTAACACACAATTTGAAAACGTCTGCATAATATGGTTAGCAGTACTAGAATACCTGCATTTCTTTCTTCTCTTTTTCGATCTGCTCCTTTGTTTTCGGATCAAACTGTACGTGGTAGAATTTCTCCATGTTGAACTTCTCTAGATTATTTGGGTCCTATAGGTAATATCTGTGATAAAATGTACGAAACCATTTATGTTACCCGGAACAAATTCTGAATAGTTCAAGGCAAACAGTCATAAATTGTTATAAAAATCAAAAAGCAAATAACTGTCATAAGAAACCTGTAGAACTATTATGTCACTTCTTTGAAATGGTGTATCGGTAAGGAGATCCTTCAGATGGTTAGCCTTCAGGTTCAATTCCTGAAATTCTCGACCCAGGTACAGCAAATTTTTCGAAGTGCGGTATATTCACATGCGATGAATTACTTCAACTTTACATTCATTTATGGATTTAGCAAAAAAAAAAACATAGGTTAGACTTAGGTTACGTCGCGACTTAGAGGTAGAACAATCAATGGCCAATTAATTACAGACAACCTTGTCATGAGGGCGCGTATGGCGCAGTGGTTGGAGGTACCCTGCAATAGACGCGGGATCGATCCGCGTGCCCCAGTCTGACCAAGCCCTCCATCTCTCCGGAGTCGGCAAACTGGTAGCAGACTTGTCTGGGAAGATAACAGCATCGGCATGATATGACGGTAGGGCATCGCAATGTAAAGACTAGATATGCATTCAATCACTTTTACACATATTTAACAAAGTCGAATACATGGCGCATCCCTTAGGGAGCAGAGAGCACTTTTTTTAGAACCTTGGAATTATCAGACAAACTTAAGCGGAAGGGAAAGCTTGGCCTGCTTATGTAGAGTGAATTATGCAAGCTTAAGATCCAACAAAGCCTTATTCCACTGTATCTAAACCTGTTCTTTTCGTCATGACCAGCGGAAACTGAATTTAAAAAAATCATATAATCATCAAGATCACACCTGCACAGCTTCATAGGAGAAAACGTTGCCAGTTGTGCCGATGGCGACAACATGTGTATGATCGGTGAAACCACGAAAAGTCACGGGGCAACGGAATTTTCCTTGAAATTTGATTTACTTGTGTTTAAATTGTTGAGGTAACACCAGTTTGGTAACAAAATTCATTTCGGCTAACGTTTCGACGCCTTCGTCTTCATCAGAGCCGATGATCTAAGTCGATTGTCCACAGTTGTTCGTCTTTACCCACGTCGAGAATAATATGAACTGTGGAACATCGGCTCGGATCACTGGCTCTGATGAAGACGAAGACACCGAAATGTTAGCCGAATAAAACTACTCTATCAACATCAGGTTACCTCAGCAAGTTAAACACATGTTCATTGTTTTCCTAACGAGGTTAAATGACGATCGGTTTGAAAATTGCGTTGGATTTACTGATTTTGAACTCATAAAAATTTACTGCGCATGAGTCAACAATCCTGTGCGTTGAAAAAGTGAAAGATAGTAGATCGGAAACAAAGATACTAAACGACAAGAAGACTGCAACCAATAGAACGAAAGCATAAGCCGTCGCTTTTAAAGGGAAACCTACCTTGTTCATCCTTGTCGAATTTTAAATGAATGAGATCCTTGCTGCTCATTTTTTTCCCGGTGCAGGGATTCACGCCATACTTCTTCAAATACGGTATAATTTGGCTGCAACGAAAAGTACATCCATCCACTTTTTTCCAAGGCAACTGCCAACTAATTTAGAAGCACATAACCACAAAATTGTTAGGACTATTAAAATTTCGACTCCCAACATGGGATGACGTATTTAGCCATCAGGACTTCCCACAAGGTTTTTCCCACCGTACTTCTTCAAAGAACAGATAACATAACATGCTAAAAAACTTCAACGGTTTACCGCTTCACTGTGGAAATTATGAAGGGACCCGCACAATCAGTGAAGGCGGGCCATCCAAGTATCCAAGTAGGTAAGTATTTCGTTTAACTCAACATCTAAGCAGTTATCTTAAAGCCCATAGAAGATCGTAAGAGAATTTATAAAGTAACAACAATCTCAGTGGAATGAAGGAAGAAAATAACAACATGATGAGAACCAACGTCAGGTCAAAAATCTCTCCTGTCCTTGCACAGACAGGATCATCGAAAGGAATCAGCGACAGCGCACAGTGGGTGAGAGGAAGACGCTTGAACTGAGCACGCTGAAGACGAGTTCCAGTGTCTAAAAACCAGAAAAGAAAGCCTTGAAGACAAAAAAAAAGCTACAAAAGTATCGAAGCAAAAGAATGAACCAAGCCTAAACCACGCGAAAGAACTACTTTAAAGAGTTTACCAGCGACTACTAATGACGTCAGAATCTACTCAGTACTTATACTCTACTCGTGATCGTATGACTGAAAAAACAGCAACTATAGAAAATCAAAGCTAACCATCTTTATGACCACCAATCTCCTTCCACTCAGTAGTTGTAAGGTACCTAAAACTCAAAATACATTAAGAAAAGTGTACTTAAATCCTGCGCTTTACGAAAAGATACTACAGAAGAAACTGCAACTAAAACTATAAATGTATAGGACAACGAACAAATGCACATTTGTACTTGTAAACTTACAACTTATCCTTCTGGTGCTGCTTCTTGCCCATTTAGTCAGCTCTCGTTCGGCACTGGTTTTTCTAGTTGAGGTAGTCTTTATAAGAAATATGAATATAGTTCTCCTTACCTGCCAAAGTAGTTCTAACGTGTCTAACACCAACTTTCTAACACACACTTTCCCAACACCTATTAGGTAAGACTCCCTCATGCCAAGGATCTTGGAAGAAGCCGCAATCTCACAATTTTCAGTACACCGTACCCCAGAGTACACAAATATTTGCAGTTTTTTCGGATGATGAGGAACCACCATCGCCTCCCTTTTCTCGTTATTTTCGTCTTTTAAACTTGTTAATTATGTGCCTCTGGTGTGTTTGAGGATTATTTTTTTGATCTATATTTTCTTATTCCCATCCAGTCGTGAAGAGATGTTTGAGGAGCCACTTCGGCCAATATTTCGATGGCTGTGCAGGGTTCTTAGTTGAATGGGAGCTTTTCTAAGTTGTCAAAAAGTGGCACATGTTGCTTCTCGCCTTCTGTATTATTCGTTTTATGTTCTGCATGTGTAGCAGGTGATTCAGCTCCGCAGCAACATATACGCTTCAAGTCTGGAGACCCCGAAAAGGTGCCTTGACTTTAACTGGCACCACCGGAGGGCCTGGCGAGCAACCTATATATAAAGCAACATTCATCCAAAGCAGGTAGAATTAAAGGTCTTGAACCAAAAATGTGCAGCTTCCCCGAGTGGATCTGCAATACGATAGGGAATAATAGATACTTTATCGGTGCCTATTCATGTTAACCAGTAACAATTGTAAAGATGATAGAAGTCGTGTGTGTATGTGGGTGTGTGTGTCTGTGTCCGTGTGTCTTCACGTGCCTGCAGGCGTGTGTGTGTGTGTGTGTGTGTGTGTGTGTGTGTGTGTGT